CACCAAAACTCAAACGTCTTCGTATCGAAACCGCAGCCAAGGCATCGTGTACTTGATTCACTGCTCTGTGGCAGATGTCTCGGCTCGATAATTGAAGTCCCCAAATCAACAATCACGCTCGCTTTCCAATACGTCTCAGACAAAAGGAACAGAAAAAGAAGAAGGGAAAAGGGAAAACCGCCCACTCCAACCAACAATCGCTTCAGTATCAAACTCGGGAACAACGCAACCGTCCGCACGTTCCCCTCCCGACCCTCCCCACCACGCTCGCTACCCCGAATCGCACACGCGGCTCATCTGTCCGTGTATACCTACTCACCACGTAAGATTCTGCGCCAGGACAACGGTGCCAGCGTTGCACTAACACGGCTTGCAGTTTTCTCGCCCAACACACTCCTCACCACTCTTGAAAAATGGCTGGTCCCGGAGGCGGTCCTCCCCGTCGCAGCCACACCAAGTCGCGCAAGGGCTGCGAAACCTGCAAGCGTCGGCATATTCGTTGTGATGAAAACTTCCCTCAATGGTACGTGAACATTGCTGGCGCGCACAAACGCCACGGGCCTCGACTAACACGGGGGTTTCAGCCGAAACTGCACCAAGCACAAGATTCGCTGCCCCTACAATGACATGCCCGCCATGGAAGACCGGTCAACGACCCCTGACAAGCCGGATCTCATGTGGACGCCCAGCATCGTTGCCGATATTGAGCAGTGGCAGCGCACCGGAATCTTTCCCTTCCCCAACCTCTCCATCTCCTCAACCCCCAACCCGGCCGAGTACAGCCTGGAAGATCTTCGCCTGATCTACCACGTTGCCTCGATCAGCAACGAGATGGAAGGTTTGGGTGCCACCAACTTCACGCTCTGGACACGCCAGATTCCTGCGTATGTTCAGAACCATGCCCACTGGGCCATTCTTGGACATGACACTAACCTGGCTCTCTTAGCATCATCAAGCTCGGCTCGACGCACCGTTATGTGATGCACTCCCTGCTGGCTTTCTCCGCCATGCACATTGCTTTCCTCACCGACTGTCCCATCGTTGGTAACCTAGCGTACGAGCACCGCGGTATTGCTCTCAAGGGCCTGCAGGAGGGCATCGGCTCATTTGGCCCGGAAACCTCTGATGCTGTCTTGGCTGCTTCGCTGGTTCTCTCCTGGCAAGCCACTGACTGGTAAGCAATACTCTACTATCCTGAGGGAGACAGGCTTTTCTAACACGAGATTCAGGCGGAGCTGGACCCAGCTCATGCAAGGAACCTCATCGGTAAGCTCCCGACCCCCTTTCGCATCAGCGTCAATTCCCGCTCGTCTACAAGAGGTCAATCTAACTCAGCAAAGGTTGTCGATGCCATGGCTTCCTGGAGCCACGACTCTCAGTTTTACGACTGGATCAGGGAAACCGGCACGTTCCCAACGGCCCCTCCTTCGCCCACCCCGGATCACAGGCCCAGCCAGCCGCGCAAGGAAGACCTAGATGCCCTGAACCGGACTCTCGCTCAGTTGCAGAAGGTCGAGGCCCACCAGAAACACAACAAGGAGGACACAAAGCACATCCAGCAGCTCATCAGCTTTCTCAAGGGATCTCGCAAAGTCAGCCCGACCTTGTCCGTCGCCCAGCAGTTTGAACGCCTCCGTCCCCTGCGTACCTGGCTTTTCTACCTGCCCGTCATGGCCCTCCAGCAGAGTGGTTGCTCCGTCAATTCCCTGGTGACCATCGCCCATTATTACACGGTTGCCGTTCTGATGGAGCGCCTGTTCCCTGAGATCGGTGCTGCATACTTTGGCAACCTTTCCATTGCGCCCGTCGAGGAGATCGCCCGCTGCCTGTTGTCCATCAACATTTCTGGTTCCATCGAGGGTGATCTTTCTACGCCGATGAAGCTGATGCATTTCCCTTTTGGACATGGTCCAATGGAGTTCCCGCAACCGCATCGGTA